CCCGATTCCGGGGCTTCGCCCCCGCCGACAGCCACGGGCAGAGCCCTTAAAGAGCCAGAGCCGCCCAGGAGGGCAGAGAGAGACACGGGGAGGGAAGGGCAGGGGAGCTGGGGAAGGATGGGGGTCCTGGAGGGAAGACAGGGGGGTCCGGAGGGAGGGAAGGACAGGGGGAGATGGACAGGGGATGTCAGAGGTTCTGGGGAAGGATAGGGGGTCCCAGAGGGAAGACAGGGGATCCTGGAGGAAGGACAGGGGTTCTAGGAAAGGATAGAGGGTCCTAGAGGGAGGACAGGGGGTCTAGAGGGAGGGAAGGACAGGGGGAGCTGGGGGAGGACAGTGAGAGCTGAGGGATGGACAGGGGATGCCAGGGGAAGGACAAGGGCTCTAGGGAAGGACAGAGGATCCCAGGGGTCCTGGGGAAGGACAGAGGATCCCAAAGAAGAAGGAAGGACAGGGAGACCCAGAGGAGAAGAAAGGACAAGGGACCCCAGAGGGAAAGGATAGGGTTCCCAGATAAAAGGACAGAGCATCCTAGGGAAGGACAGGGGGTGGTGTAAGGAAGACCAGGAGTTTCCTACCCAGGGGAAGGATGAGGATCCTGGGGGAAAGACAACTATCCTGGAGTAATTTCCTTCCCAGGGGAAGGATGAGGATCGTGGGGGAAAGACAACTATCCTGGAGTAAGGACAGGGGTCCCAGGGGGAAGGAGAAAGTCCTAGGAGGAAGGAGAGGGTGTCCTGAAGGAAGGACAGGGGTCCCAGAAGGAAGAACAGAGTCCTAGGGGGAACATGCACAGCTGAGCCCTTGTGGCTCCATCCGAGGCTCTGTGCTCCAGGGCTGCCCTGAGGAACAGCACTCAGGGCTTTGAGGAAGGCTAAAACCACTCCAAAGGGCTTTGAAAGCTTAAAAACTGGAGGTTTAGCATGGTTTTTTTTTTCTTTCACTTTCCCAATTCATTCTGGAAATCTTAAAAGAGCCACGAGAACAAACCTCCTCAGATCTCTTAAGAGAGGGGAAAGAAGGAGCAAAGCAGATGAAAGCCCAAGCTCATCTCTGCCTTTAGGAAGGAACTGAAGGGAGCAGGAGCAGCAGTTCTAAGGTGTGTGCAGCCAGCTGGGAGCTCAGCATCCCCCTGACCTCCTCCTCTGCTCAAACACCAGCATTTACTCCCCTGCCAGCCCAGGAGACACTTGCCAAGCACAGCCTCAAACCCTTGCACAGCATTTCTCAGCCCCCCGAGGTGGCTGCTCAACCTTTCCCCTTCCTCACAGAGCTGCCACCAACGTGTCACTCTTTTGCCCTCTTGCTCCAGAGTCCTGAACTTTGCCCTGGGCTTGTTCAGTGTTCCTGTGTGGAAGAACTGGAATCCACCCAGGCAGCAGGGAGAGGGGACAGGAATGGGGCTGAGGAGGAAAAGCTTCATCAGGAACACACCTAGGAGCAACTGGATTCAGTTTCAAGGCTGGGGAAAGCACCCCCAGCCTCAATGAGACAGGAAAAGGCACAAATAGCAGCATAACAGCACACAATGAATGGGGACAAAAAGGTGAAAACAGCTAATTTGGAAGCAGCATAACAGCACATAATGAATGGAGACAAAAAGGTGAAAACAGCTAATTTGGGGTGATTTGAGGCAATAACCCTCAGGTCTTGTCAAACACCAAACCCTCTGCTTCAACACAGGAGGGGGCTCAGGATGTGGTGGGATAAAGGACTATACCCACCTGTGCCAACAGGAGATCCATGGAACACACAGGGATGGCTGTAGTGTCCCAACAGCTTTGAATACCTCCAGGACCAGCAGG